CTTCCTTCCGTGGCACAAACTCACTCCATTTTTCTAACCATTCCTCAAGGCTTTAATATTCCCAGAAATGTTGTCTTAACCTTTATAAATAACCATTTGAGATATTATTCTTTTATGAAGAGAATAAGATAAACCAATTACTGCGAACATACAAGTAATTTGGAATAAATGGTTAAAATCTACTTACAGATTATTAAAGTATAATAATTTAGTCTCAAATGTCAGAAGAACAACATGTTGACATTTTGTTGAGTTCTAAGTACATTTAGAACACCTGGAATTTTGATTGGTTTTAATTAAGTATCATCCACTTTACAGGGAGTGTGTGAAAAGTGAAAAAAAATTTGCCAAGCCGAAGGATCAGACCAGTGACCGCTTTACAAATCCTATGCTGATAATAAACAAAGGGTTCTTTTTCCTTGTTTTTTTCAAATGCTTTAACTTTGTTAAAGATCAGCAATAATGTCAACAGCGTGATGTCACAGTGTGACCAATTATCAATATATTAATTACTGTCACAGTGTGACCAATTATCAATATATTAATTGCTGTCACAGTGTGACCAATTATCAATATGTTCATTTCTGTCACAGTGTGACAAATTATCAATATGTTCATTGCTGTCACAGTGTGACAAATTATCAATATGTTCATTTCTGTCACAGTCTGACAAATTATCAATATGTTCATTTCTGTCACAGTCAGACAAATTATCAATATGTTCATTGCTGTCACAGTGTACCTAATTATCAATATGTTCATTGCTGTCACATTGTGACCAATTATCAATATGTTCATTGCTGTCACAGGGTACCTAATTATCAATATGTTCATTACTGTCACAGTGTACCTTATTATCAATATGTTCATTACTGTCACAGTGTGACCAATCATGAATATGTTCATTGCTGTGACAGTGTGGACAATTATCAATATGTTCATTTCTGTCACAGTGTGGACAATAATTATCACATGACAGCCTATTGAATGATGTGACATTTGTTTACAGTTTTTGTACAATATGTTTACCTAATACCAGTATTAATTAAATTCCCAGTTCTTGTGCTACAATCAAGTACGATTAAGGCGGGTATGGAGTAGTGTTATATTATAATACTTGGTTAACATGTGTTACATACACTGCACATTCTTCTGTATTGTTTCTTATAATCCTATTTTCCGAGTGGCAGGATTTTACAGGGATGTAGTAAATAGTACCGATTCTAATACTCACAACAATGTATTTTATGGTGACATCTGTAGGCTTCTAAAGGAAAATCACAAGAAAACAGATTACAAAATAGGGCACTATGTCCTTAATGCCCTCAGCTTAAGCCAGTATTTCCCAGAAGCAAAAAAAAATTTTTTCTATTCCTTTTTTTCAGTTCTGACTGGTAACGTGAAAGTATTGTAAAATGAATGGTGGCATTAAGAGAGAGATTGGAAGGTTCCAATAATAAGACATGCTTATAGAGTTTAGTATAAAACATTATAGAGTTTAGTATAAAACATTATACTTATCTAAAAGGTCAGTGACTTTGTGTGATATACACATGTATACAAAATAGGTAGAAAATAAATGAAGTAAAAACGTGTAGATGCTTAAAGATGGGCTTGTCTTTCGTATTTTTCTTGGTATGTCCTTTCTGTAAAACTGATTTATACTGATATAGAAAATATCTTACACAATATGTTGGCAACACACACTGCAAGCAATCTAATCTAACCATTGCATCACCTCTGTTAATAAATTGTAACAATAAGAGATAAAAAAAAATTAGCATATTAAAGAAATGTTAGATTTGGTTGGTATTTTTCATTTCAATACGGAGATGCAATATGACTCATTTATTAAAGGTGACGTCTGCCTGGACTAGATGTAAATCAGGGATGCAGAAATATAAACAGGAAAGTTTTTTTCATTTTCATTTCATAAAGTTATTCAGAGCATGGAACTAAAGAATCCAGACGGCTGCACAATTTGTCAATTATCAGATGTGAAAATGTCATAAAATTGCTACAAATGTAATGTATTTTATTTTGTAAGTAGGGAAATAATGTCTTCTATGTAATCTTGCTATAATAATATGAACATTAAAAATCAGTTGCGCGTGGAACGCATCATAAATTTTGCACAGTAAAATTTCTGTTCCCTTATCATTTGAAAATAACATTTCAATGAACCTATCCTACCAAAATTTTCATTAAAATTGTCACACATCAGTGATCTATTTTTGTGTCATTTACATTTTATAAAATAGTTACACACAGCCCAATCTGGATGTGGTTAATTTTTACTTCACCAAGATTGTTCCAGACATTGGGTCCATATTTCAGTTAAAACTTCTTCTAGTACAGTTAACGTCTTTTGATCAAATTCAAGATTGCAAAAAATTTCAAATTTCAACTACACTACACTATAATTTTAATTAAACCACTTTGATTCGGAAGCATTCGAAAGCCCATCATTATGCAATTATGTAAAAAAGAAAATCAGATTTAGTGAAAACATAATTCTTAATCAAGCGTCATAAATTTTTTTTAACCAAGATATGCTTGATTGAAGTTCAACAGTAAATCATAATGAGTAACATGTTCTTTACTTAATCTTTTTTTTACATTTCATTTTAATAAACCTTTATCTTGTAGTTGTAATTAAACTGAAACAACTTCTTCACATGTGGGAAGCAAAACTATAATATTGATGACCTAAATGAGCCTACAAGTATTAATTGAGTTAATAGTACTGCAAAACAAATTTCATTTTTTGTTCACAGTTATAACTTTCATGGATATATATAGGAAAAACACACACTAAGGTCATTGATAAGTGATAATATGTCAGAATTGAGATAAACAACCGAGGTAGTTGCATTATGCATCTCCCTTGTTTTTTCAAATTCATTTTTTTAAAGTATACTAAAAGTCTGATCAAAGAGAACTGCCGAAATTAATTCACAAGGATTATAGATAGTTGTTTTCTTTAGCCCATCATTTGGTTTATCTCTGAGGAAATCCATGTTGTAAATAAAGCACATGTTTGGGATAGCTTTGGTTAGCAAGTTTGTTTGGTACATGGATAGAATGTAAACTTTAGAGATCTTAAGATACCTTAATTGATTGCCAAATTCCACCCAATTATAAAGTGATAGAAAGTCTGCAATTTCCATGGGAGATTGTGGCGAAAGTCTACACTTGGAGCCTACAGTATGCTAAGTCTTATTATTATAAACACAGACAGTATTTAATGGTATGTGTCAATTTTATAACTTTTATCACAGGCTATTATTACTGTAAACTCAGTGTTATCAAATATTTTGACCATTTGTGTAACATTTCCTAAAGCATTTTAAATATTTCAGTCATTCTCAGTTTGCCTTCTATACTTCAAGACTATAGCAGGCATTTAATCAAACCAACAATCCTTGCAATGACGCCTCCTTAACCAATAGGTGACCACTCTCTGACTGAGACTGAATAAATGCCATAAATTAAGTTAGGTCAATTGATTAAGTTATTATTAATATGATAAGCATTGTTCTACCTACAAACTCTCACAAAGGATATAGAGTAAACACATTGACTGTAACTGTACCACATACCGCTTCAGTCAGTGACAGTACCAAAACAACAATATCATGTTCTTACTAATTGACAATGACTTCAAGTCCATGATGTTGACAGTTGACCATGTTTCCCGTAATTGACATTAACTATGCTTAAATGAACAAAACAGTGGCATTATCAGAACCAGTACTGTGGAATTAAGGCAGTGTATATAATAACACTTAGTTTTATACCCCCTTAGTTTATTAATTTAAGCTCAGCTATGACAATTGTTAATTTTTCCTGGGACTATAGCAAGTGCTTTTGTTACAGTATAAGGAAACATGGTCAGTATCCCAGGACTTGAACAAACAACCTCTGGGTTGAGATGCAGAAACCTAATACATCCATTACAAGACACACACATTCTCATACATATATGAATTTATATGTATGTAATTATTTATCATAGTTTTTCATAACCAACAAGATTAAGACAGGCAAAAATATGTTTAAATACTTAATTTGTTCTTAAAGAGTTTCATCACTATCAACATTAAAGGGTGGGGCTAGATCTACACATTGATAATGAATTAATGAAAATATAAATAATAACAAAACAATATTTTATGCAATTAACAACCTTTTATCATTACATAATCACTTGTAATTAACAGAATAATTAAGGACTTTTATAGCCTTTTTAGTCATTACCTATCAATATATAAAACTATTTAAACGTCCTGGGAAATAATCATTTAATGAACATCCAAATTTGTTCGCACAGCAAACGTAATATAGATTATAAACCAGACCTAAACTAAACACATCTCCTATAATGAATTATAGAGATAAAAAACTTCTATCTTATTTAATTGTTTCTAGATTAATTCTGTTATTAAGCACATCACTTAGCATACCATAACAAATTAATTTATCAGTAGCTTAATTAATCTCAATCTTGTATTTCCCCACACTCTAAACAACATAATGTGGAGTATCCATGAAGGATTTTCCTATATATATTTCCTTCTATTTCTTCAGTTTTCAACATGAAGGAAGGAAGTTTTTCAATAAATTGTCTAAAAAGATGAATGATATTACAAAATACAAAGCAACCATCCCCCTGTCCTCCCACAGCCCAATTATGTTCTAATAAATTAACTTCATTCCAGTACTAAGTGTTAAGGAAACATGGTTATGACCCTAGCAGAGCTTGAACTCAGGATCCCTGGGTTGAAAGGCAGACACCTAAACTGGAAGGCTACCACATGTCTAAAAGTTAAAATCAAGCCATATACACTGGAAACCAGGGCATGTTATAGACCAGTACACAAGTCAGATGAAATCAAGAAAATATAACAGTTTTCGGACACCATGCTCCCTCTGTGTGACAACAAGCTCCAATTTAAGCAAACTTACTGGTAAAAAAATAAAATAATAGAATTACTCACCTTGAGCACCAATAACGGTAGCCAAGACAGCTAGGGTCAGCACTTGAGCTAAACACATAGTCTTTTCATAACGGCTCGAAGTAAATCACAGACTTAAGTCCTTCTTATTATACAGTTTCTTTTTTCCTATCTGAAACACAAAATATAATGTAATTTAAACCCTGTTAAAATGTCAAGAGAAACACATTTTGTCACCATTATATCAGTTTATATTAATATATAATTGCCTATAACATGTTTAAATTGTAACATATGTATGAAAATATCAATACATAATGTCATTGTTTTATAATGAAGTTTTCTACTCAATTCTATACACATCCAAACCTTAGAACACAACTTGACTTTTTTTTCCCCCAAAACTGTCACTGAATCTTAAATCCTAAATATCTGCTTCAAATTAGCTGGCTAAGCCCCTTTCAGTTGAAATTGACCCTTGCCACATGTGGTGAGAGTTTTACTTGCCCCCTCTAATATTGTCACTTCCTTTTAACTCCTACAGGTTTCACATGAAAAAAAGGAATTAGAATTTCCTGTCTTTAGGGCATTTATGTATAACATTACTATTTTAAATTAAATACATCTTTACCATCAATATATACACTTATATAATGGTATTACATAAAACACCCCTTTACAAAGGATTTTCTCAATCCTGTTTTTTTTTCTTCAATTTTAGGGAAAAAAATAATCCTCTACTTAATCCTTTTTGTAAACACAATTTCCTGTTACATTTCTTTCAATTTTTTTTTTCGAATTTAAAATCCAATTTCAATTTCAGTTAATCAATGCATAAAAATTAATTAAAAACCAAAACAAATATAACCAAATACTTTTAAATGTATTATCTATAAACAAACTAGAAATGTGTCATCATGCCACGGATGCCCCCGCATGCAGCCAAAATTTCAGATGGTGCATTAATTTTTTTTTTTCATTTTAAGTTCAAAGCCCTTAAAACTTTTCAATGTTAACACAAACCAATTCCATACAACGTTCAAGGCACTGAAATTATTCAGTCTTAACCTTTAGAAAAAGCATATTGCATATTTGTAGCCAAAATAATGGCTAAAAGAATGAGTGCTGAAACTGAAAGTTCAAAATTTTTCCAACATTCAGGAAAGATAAGTTTGTCTAAAATCATTGAACCACAACCAAATTCAAACTTAAACTGCTTATTCCTAAGATGTATCTATATTATTTTCAAAGTGAAAGGGACATAACTCTGCCAAAAATCCATCAAACCATGACCAAATTCCAACTTGACCTGCCCATTCCTTTGACATATCCATATGTCAAATTAAAATTGAATATGTAACACTGTTAGGTAGATAATGAACAGAAACTGTAAATTTCATATTATTTTCAAAGTGAAAGGGGCATAACTCTGCCAAAAATCATTTAACCATGACCAAATTTGAACTTGACTTGGGCATTCCAAAAACATATCCATATGTCAAATTTGAGTTGAATGTGTTGTACCATTGGGGAGATAATAAACGGAAACTGAAAATTTCATATTACTTTCAAAGTGAAAGGGGCATAACTCTGCCAAAAAATCATTGAACCATGACCAAATTTGAACTTGACCTGCGCATTCCATTGACGCATCCATATGTCACGTTTGAGTTGAATGTGTTGTACCTTGAGGGAGATAATGAACGGAAACTGAAAATTTCATATTATTTTCAAAGTAAAAGGGGCATAACTCTACCAAAAATCATCGAAACCACAACCAAATTTGAACTTGACCTGTGCATTCCTTTGACGCATCAATATGTCACGTTTAAGTTGAATGTGTTGTACCTTGAGGGAGATAATGAACGGAAACTGAAAATTTAATATTATTTTCAAAGTGAAAGGGGCATAACTCTGCCAAAAATCATCGAACCATGACCAAATTCGAACTTGACCTGTATTTTCTCATGACATATCCATATGTCAAGTTTGAGTTGATTGTGTTGTACAGTTGGGGAGATAATGAACGGAAACTGAAAATTTCATATTATTTTCAAAGTAAAAGGGGCATAACTCTGCCAAAAATCATCGAACCATAACCAAATTTGAACTTGACCTGTATTTTCTCATAACATATCCATATGTCAAGTTTGAGTTGAATGTGTCCAACCGTTCTTGAGATAATGAACGGAAACTGAAATTTCATATTATTTTCAAAGTAAAAGGGGCATAACTCTGCCAAAAATCATCGAACCATGACCAAATTCGAACTTGACCTGTATTTTCTCATGACATATCCATATGTCAAATTTGAGTTGAATGTGCCCAACCGTTCTTAAGATAATGAACGGAAACTGATGATGACGGAATGACAGAATGACGGAAGGACGGAAGGACGGAAGGATGGAAGGACGGAAGGACGGAAGGACGGAATGACGGAACAGGGTAACACTATATGCCCCGGCCATTACATGGCGGGGGCATAACAAAAAAAAAACCCTGTTTTTCAAGGAAAAGTTAACTTACAAATATTTGCCTATATTCCCAATGAGGAAATTATTATTTTCATTATTCTAATCACTTGCAATAAAAGTTAAAACCACAATTTTCACTTTCAAATATATCACAAAGAGTAACTCCACTAAATTACACACATAAAACTTAATCAACATAAAATTTCCAAACTTTGTATGTATCTATTAACCATCCAGCATAATATTTCATCATATGCAACACAACGCTACAGATAATCCAGTATTTAAACTACACGCTAATTTCATCTCTAGTATAGTTTTCTTACAAGATGTTTCTTGTATGCTCCATGAATAACGTCCTATGATTAACTGATTCATTTCGACAGGTACAACAAAAATGCCCTTTGACAATCACCCGGACGTGACAAGGAGACACAGATTTTCAAACATCTTAAAACTTTACTCTAACAAATAACCTGTTATACACAATGATATTTTTTCATTCTTCTTCTGTAAAATAAATACTAAAGAAATTTACATGTTCGACTCCTTTATTAATTTAAAAAAAAAAACGTACACGGAAAAAAACCCTGGTAAAGTCTCTTTTATAACAATAAGGTAACTATAACTGTAACCCAACGCTATATATTTAGAAATACACAGGAATAGGAATGAAAAGAAAACTGTATAATAAATGAGTAAGTGATGAGATCTGTATTCAAACTGCCTATGAGATAATAAGCTCCCAACATGTTGCAGCAAAATCAAGGACGGCCTCATTTATTTATATTGTACAAAAAACAATATAACAGCAGGATATCACTCAATATAATCAAAGAATTTTGATTGGCTAACAGTATGCTTCATACTTTAAACTGACCAATGAAAAGAGTGCATTTCAGAAGAGTCTATCTGGACAAAAACGTCAATAAAGAAATACAATTTCTTTTTCCCTCTATATCAACGATAAAACTGTCTTTATAAATCCAAAATTATCAAAACTCATACTTAAAAAGATTATTCAAATGACAGCCAAGATTCACAGACCTCAAACATCAGAAAACCCAAGAATACCAATGTATTCCAAAATTGTTCACAGAATAATGGTGACATTACCCAAGCAAGACCTCATTCAGGAAATTGTCAATTCACAATGTAAATGTTATTTATACTGTAAAAGGGGAACTCCTTCAACATACTCGTCCAATAATTTCTTTTGCTACAACATAAATGCTCACTATCATGACTTCATATCGTACCATTTCTTTAATACCTGACCTTAAACAAGTTAACCAGTAGTGTCACATTAAGGCACTTTTTTCAAACTTGCTAAAGAAATTTTATAACTCGGAGCTACACATCAGTTCTCCTTGGGTTTGGTTGATTTTAAGGAAATGTTGGCAAGTTTGTAGCAGTCAGTAGGCTAAAATGGCTGTCTCAAACATATAAATACTAAGAAACTCCTTGTTATATATTATAAAACCAAAAATGACTGCCTCAGAAAAAATTTAATCACATCCCTGCAAGTCCATATGAAACAAATGCAGCTTTCAAGTCATTTATATAATTACCAAATTTGTGTTGCTACAAACTTGCCAACACCATGATCTCCCTCAGCTGAAACTTGACATCCAATTATCCTGCCCAAAACCCAATGTCAAAACATGTTTAGCCCAATTTGTACTATATTTTTAGATTTTCTGCCTGTCGTGGGAAACATACACTTTAATATAAGCAAAGCTCTGGTAATAAATCAAACAATTTTAACCACTAGGTGGAGACAATGGTCCCACCTAACCTTTGCAAGTATTATAAGCTTGTATATTAAATTACAGTTATAATATGCACTAAAGGTCATTTCTAAATAGATAATTTGTGACAAGTGAACAAATCTGACAACTACATAGTAAATTATGGGCATTTTTACTTTTGAACAATTTCCACACAAATCAATTTATGAACAGTTATAATTCAAGGCTGACCTCCCAGGCAAGATAACAATTCAATTAGGATCCAATTAAAGACAATTTCCAGTCTTGCATTTAACCTTTAGAGGCTCATGCAGCAATATAAAGGGGTTTGTTTTACCCTTCTGAAAGAAGTCCCAAAATCTGCCAGCTAAAATATATGATGCTTGTTTTTTTGGATGTTCTGTACACTCTTCTTTTTATGACTTTAAAGTTTAAGACATTCCATTGATTATAAAAGGGATTTCTATAGCCAAAATGTGTAGAGCGACCTGGCTCTATGCTTGCAAAGGCTCATTCTGTACTTTTTAAGTACTTTTGAAAATACTGACCATTGGCTAAGAAAATAGTAAAATGGTTATACAGCCTTAATTATGAAGCACATGCCTTTATTCTACTTATAATAAAATAACAAAGCAGTGAATGCACAATAAATACTAGCATTCTTGAAGGTATGCTTGTTTTTTGTAAAGCAAAAAAAATGTTTCTTGTTATCTTGAAATAAAACCCCACAGCAATAAAGTCACACTATAAAAAAACATATCAGCATAACCTGAAATTAACTGGTAATTAGGAAAATCTGCTTTTGTGCAGTTATCAAATACCTCAAATTAAATATGCCCAGAGTTTTATGAATGCTGTAATTGTGAGTTTAAGACAATAATCATGAGCTCCAGAAAAGATGCAAGAGAGCATTTTATATTCCATTTTAATATTTTACACCTGATCAATCAAAAAGATGATAAATGCAAAATTATTGAAATAATGAAGAATTAAAATTTTATGGTTGAACATACATCAAACCGAGTTTGTTTGTGTAAAATTAATGAAACTGTTGAAAGAATGTTTTCCCATTCTTTATAACAAGAAACATCAAAATTTATTTTTGTTGTTCGTATTTTTTGTAACACAGATATCTCATTATGTGAGTTATGTTTTAGGATTGCGTCCCATGGCGCGGACGCAACCTCTTGTTCTGGTAATAACAAATTAGCGTGGTTCTTGTAGCAGAGTGTGTACCGCCATTAAGAATGTTTCAACATTTAACAGCGGGGTACTTTACTATAACTTAGGAACTTGCTTTTTTTTAGTGCAGTTTTAAATCTCTGGTAAATATTCCTATCTAACCATCAACACCTACCAGAAACAATCTGCAAAAGCTATATTTTTAGGGGTTTTTTTGTGTGTTTTTTTTTTTCATTTTGTTTTTTTTTCTTTTGATTTTCTGTTTATTTTTAAGATTGAAATCAAAATTTGCGGAGTCAAAATTGAAGAAATCAGTAGTTTGTAATTTTTCAATCTCCTTTGATAGATGGCAAATATGAGAATTACGGCAGGTTCGGAAAAACACGTGTATTACAAGAATCATCTGAAGTAAACGATATTTGATGTCAAACAATTAATAACAGTACATTGCACATATCAATTAATGACATTCATATTTGTTAACTTGAAACAGGAATGACATTTTCAAATATCCCTGAGCAAATTAAAGAATTGGATTTCAAGAAAAGACAAGGGTGGGTGAGACAGTAATAAATTATAAAATATGATATATAGGTTGTATAATCATGTTATTTGTCTGAAAAAATAAAGTTATCCCACATATTAAAATAAGTATCAATTACAAAATAAAATAAACCTTCACATAAATTTATCGTATTTCTTGTTAGCCAAGAACATAATAATAAAATTTGTTTTCCAGAAAAATCTAAATTAGTACTTTAATTTTGATATCTTAGCTTTCTGAAATCAAATAATTTGAATGTCTCAGGTACTGGTAATTGCAAATATAAGCCAATTTATAGTCATTCTATTCCATTCGTTATGTTAAGAAAATACAAACTAAAAGATGTTTGTCTACATAAGTTTATATATATCTGAAAGAATATACATCTGTAATTACATAGATCTACAATGTTGAGAAAATGCAATTATTTAAATCAAACTTCAAAAAAAGTGCTCAATCATATTTTTCAATTTAATATATTTATATTTACATTTATCTACAAATAAATTTCTTCCAGAAAATAAAATTTTACACAATTTTGACAATAGCAAAAACAGAAAAAAATCTTAATTGAAAACATGCACACCTTTTTTTTGCAACAAAAGAACCCTCAACAGAACTTGACTTAGTTTTGTTTAGTTTTTTAGTTCCCCAACATCTATTACACATCCATAGGGACATTTATGGCACACTCCTTGAGCAACATCATCAGTAACAACACACCCTGCTAGCAGGCTGCTGTAAGCTAAATATTTATCTTTACAGCCATGTGTGATCCGTTTTAATTTTCCTTTCTAAACAAAGTGATCCACAAGACTGTAAATTGTTTAATGTCTGTCCGTCAATGTATACTGTTTAAAATATATTCATACCAGCCCTACTCCATTATAAAACGCAACAATCTTGGAAAGTTGGGGGATCTGAAGCCATTTTTTTTGTAGAGTACATGGCTTTTTTTCACAGGTTGGGGAAGCTGAGCCCTGCCCTTAATTTTGGGGAAAAATTCCATGGTATATTTGCAAATGGGGAAGAAAAAACTTTATGTAAAGGAAAACTGCATGATTTTAAAGATTTTTTCTTTGGGGAAGCAGCCCAGTATAACAGCCCCTGCTATAGAAGGAAAAGAAGCCCTGAAGTATCTGATGAATTTTGTTACAAAAACACAAGGTCTCAAATTTTTTTAACATTAGTTACTGCATTTTATTTTTGTATCAGACTACAATTACTTTTTTCTTTACTTATACCTTCATCTTCAATTAAATCTCACCCATTTACATCTACATGCCAATATTAACACGTCCTCTTTAACTTTAATATATTTTTAATATCTCGTTTTACATAATTTATTCCATATATATAACATTATACAGTATTTTATCTGCAATTTAATGACATTTTTTTATCAGACGTTCCAATGACATTTACAAGCATCAAGCTATTATCTAATGTTTGTAATCTAGAAGATCTCCCTGTATATGTTTCTCCAGACTGTAAGCATATTTTCATAGAGATTTACTTTTCAGTTTTATCTTTTAAAGGTGTACATTATCATTGAATTATCAGATAAAGCAATATTTAGATATATCAGATTTTAACAACACATCTTCCACCTATATTTATCTTCATTCAACAAACATTAGGTATGCATATTACAATATTAACTTTTGTTCTAAATTGATCTGAGAATTCACTCTGACATAACCAATGAATTACAAGTCAATTATTTTTAATATTTCCCCATATTTGAAAAATAGAAAATAATCAATGTAATAGTAGAAATGTAAATGTAATGGTTTAATTCGCTTAAAAACACTCATATAATTATATCACTGTTCTGGTATTTCAATTTATTGCCATCAAAGACTGTATT